TTAAAAAAGCTACTTTTTTATAATAATGAAATGAATACATTAACACATTCCATTTTTATCACAACTATTGAATCACTAATATAAAAGCTATTGATAAAATTGGGAAGATGATGTGCTGGCCTTATGAACTTAAAATACATCCTCTAGCAATTCTGCATTAGGTATTGGTTATGCACCTACAGGTCTTTTGTTTCCGTCTTCTTTTGGAAAGGTAGGCTCAACATTTAAGATACAGGAATTTTTAAGGATTTTGTTTAAGCATAGATGTATCTACTATTTTAGATGTGCATTCTTTTAGAGAGTACCTTTCAATCTCTGCCTGAGGAATTTACTCTTTTTAGAAGTTGTACTTAAATATTTATTTCATGAAATAAAAAGAAATTGCTGCCTTCCCCGCCCCCACCCCACCCCCAGCTTCCTGATACCCTTTTCTTGTTGGTTAGGGTTGCATTACTTGTATTCTGTGAGCCTTATCCCCATATGCCTTTTGCAAGATTTGTGCCCTTAATTTCAGGAAAATATACACTTTCCAATACTCTCTCTGGCTGAAAGATGAGGGCCACTCTGGGAATCCTGCAGGGCCCCATAGACAGCTTATTTCCCAAATGTTGCTCACTCAGTTCACAACCCAATTGCACTTAGCTTGGAGGAACAGCCCACCGTGTAGGGCTCCTTGTTGTACCGACCCAAGAGGGCTGTGTCTCTGCTTTGCTCTCACTTTTTGGCCCATAAGCAGCTGGGCTGGTATTTAAAACTATTTTCATGGTTGGATTGATCAAAATATGTTTGATGCTAGGCAGACCTTCTGGATTGACTGAATATCCAATTCCCCATAAATTGTAGTCACTTTAGCTAGTTTCCACAATTTAGATAACATACCTATCTATGATTAATAATTTCCTATTTGTGGACCTGAAGCTTAGAATATCAAATGAGGTCTCTATTTCTAAATCCATCTTTAAAATGGCTCACATATGTACTCACAGTACCCTTGAAAGTCTAATCAGCAAATGTGATTTTTAACTCCTGGTTTTCAATAAGTTGTGCCTCCAGTCTTGAAGGCATATCAACCTGTTCTCACCCTCAGAGGTTTCCCCCTCTCCAATGAAGTCCTTATTGTGGCTGCAGATCTTATCATAATTTTTCTTCCTGGGCCACCCTGTCCCCAACTCTCCAAGCTGCTTGATTTTAGGGGACATTTTGCCTATTGCTATTCTAAAAGACATATTTTTCTGGAGTCACAAATAGAAACTTTAAATACATCTTCTCACATAAATGATAGTTAGGTATAGTTAAAATAGTTCTGTTAGTTCAGGAATTGTACAGGTTAACTATAGGCTTGTGTAGACAAAGCCATGAACTTATTTTCCACTTATTTATGACATTGTTTCTATCAGATAATTTATTCTGAGTTTCAACTAAGCAGCGGATCTCAAAATATGTCTCTTTTGTAAATTGGAGACTGCCTATATTACAGTTCTAGTAACTTGCATTCTTTATGTCGGCAGTAACTAGGCAGCAGAATGAAGTGGCCCATGTGTGTGGGGAAATAGAGGAGAAGCTGACCTAGGATGAAAATCCTGTAGTTGATCCTCAAACAGTTTATGTCCAGATAGTCAAGATTCGAATGAACATGCATAACTGGTCCAGGGTCCACGAAGAAGGGCAGATGTGAAACAATTGAGCTGACCTTTGAGGGGATGGAGGTTTACAAGTGTCATCCATTTCCTTCACTGATTCTTCGGACTATGCTGTCACAGAAGTTGCCACTGTGGGTAGAAGTGTATTTTATCACCTGATCTTTGAAGGAGATCATAGCCTGATATGATTGGTGTTATAAATGCTAGTAGCAATTCTAGTTGGTTTTCACCCTTGAGCAACAGTCTTTCATTTTTATCAGTCTTAAAGCAGTCATCTTCCTATACATTCACAAGGCCAAGGAAGGTGTGGTAATCTGTTCTTATTGGGAAAAAAAGCATACAATTTCCAGACAATGTTAAGCTAAACAACATAATTGCATTACTAAATATTCATCTTTGAGGTATATGCTCCATTTCTCTTCCTTTTGTTTCTTTGCCTTCTATGCTTTACTTGTTTGCCCCTGCTTATGTGATCACCAGTAGATTGCAGGGGTACCTTGCTGAACAATGAACAGAGTGAGAGATTTTCAAAAGATCTTAAAAAACATGTTTGAGTTCTAGGAAAATTGGAGTTGAAAAAAATAAGATAAAAGATTGGAAAGAGGGAAAAGAGAATGGGGGAATAACGATATATTGTTATAGGTGTCACCTTTCTCTGGGCAGGGAAACTATTGCTGTTTTGGACTTCAAAGTATATAATAGAAGTGTGTTTATGATTCATACAAAGAGGTCTGGAAAACCCTGGAGAAACTGCTTTCTTGGCTCACCCTACAAATTTCCAGGGATATGGAAGTCATGTGTACATTATTAGTATATTAAAGATTAATGTTCATGTTTATATCACTACACAAATTGGAACAGAAAATTTTACTTTATTTGTTTTTTAGAAGAAAATGATACTTGGCAGATTTGGAGAGGAAGAATAGGGAAATGTTTTGACCCACCAGAATTTATCAAGGATTTCTTTCTTACAGAGAAAGATTACTTGGAGAGTATATCACATATTAAAAGAAGTGGAATTAGCTTGTAATTAGAAAGATTTTTGATTAATAAAAAAAATAACTATGCACAATAAGGTAATTATTTATAACCTGTCAGTATTGAGTGGAAATAATACATCAAAACCAGACTGCATGGTTACAAGCATCACCATTTACTTTTCTGGTAGTAAAACTATATAAAAATGAATATAGAAAAATCCCAAAGTATAATGGTTAGCCCTTTAGTAATCATTCTGCAGATTGTTCACAACTGAGTTTTAATCCAAATTGCTTGCTTTCGTTTACCACCCAGCAAGCCTCTGAGTTGCTTCTTTCTGCTGTACTTTGGAATGTACTCAGGGAATGTAAATTCATTTTAATATTGGCCTAAGTAAAACAAGATTATAAAAACAAATCTGTGGCTCAAATTCCCATTATGCATTTCAAAAGCAAGTTAAATTATTTTGGGATTATTTTATTTTAGATAGCATGAGTCTTTTTTAGTAGCACTTAATCAAGAATTGACAAATATATTTTGTGAAGTAAACAAGAAATTACACAATTATTTGCCAGGTTTTAGTAAGTTATCAAGCATTTACTCAATGTTGGTGTTAAGTATTATAAGAAAACGATGGAAATATGAACCAAATTTTTATGAGTCTCTGTCATTTAGAGAAAGAAAAAAACGATTTCAATAGTAACAAATGATCCCTAATTTTAGGCCTAGTTTAATGTCAGAGTAGTTTTATGACGCTTAGTTTGATGTTTCTGGAAAAATACACATTAAATGCAGTGTATTATATAAGATAGTACCAAATCCCCTCTGAAGTCAATGTAGTGTGCTAATATGAACATATGAAGGTATTTTTATATTAAAACAAAATAGTAAACTAAATTAGGTAAGGTATTTTTCTAACCTTACATTTTGGTTAAAGACATGTGGCTCATAACTGACAAAATCCTGTTATACTAGTCTAACCTAATATTGCAGCAAATGACTTGAGTTTTTGATATGCACACTCTCAGTAAACCTTTGGCTGTCAGACAGCTTTCATCTTGTGTAAACTAGGTACATAGAATCTAAAATTTCCTAAACCCACTGCTGACAGGAAAACTTAGTATCATTAATCTAAGGCATCTGTTTTTTTTTTAAACATGTGGCTCATAACTGACAAAATCCTGTTATACTAGTCTAACCTAATATTGCAGCAAATGACTTGAGTTTTTGATATGCACACTCTCAGTAAACCTTTGGCTGTCAGACAGCTTTCATCTTGTGTAAACTAGGTACATAGAATCTAAAATTTCCTAAACCCCCGGCTGACAGGAAAACTTAGTATCATTAATCTAAGGCATCTGTTTTTTTTTTAAACAAACAAACAAACAAACAAAACGACTTTCAATGTTGAGGAACAGGCCTATACAATGAATCATGACTAATAACCACAAATAGATGGAAGAAGAATGGAGAATTTAGCTGCTTCATGCAACTGCAAGTCTGTTACATTTTTCAAACTTCTGATGAAAGAATGAATAGTTCAAATAGTTGAAGAGAAAGCATCCTAAATTGGTACAAGCCTGCAATAAACTTACCAGTTTAATGGCTTGATATAAGAACTTGTACTCAAAGCCTACTCTGGAGAATGCTTTCCATGGATTCTTTTAGATTGTCTCAAATAAAATAGAATATTTGGTACTTTAATGTGACCAAATCTTAAAGTAACAGTGGCATCCCATAATAAACTTGCAGACCATTTATCTCTGTCCCTTCTCTAGTCCATCAGCTTCTTCTATGTACCTGATCTTCCCCCTACCACGCTCCCTATTATTCACCCTCTTAAATAAGCAAAAAGCTGGAGCCTTTTTATTAGACAGATGGGGATTTCAATAAAATCTTCGCAGGTATGATTTTGTTCTTTTAGAAAAAGTTTAGCTACTGAATGCGGAGACTTCGCTAAGGCCATGCTTAAATCCTTTGCCTTGTGCCACATAACCTAGTGAAGGCATAATCAAGCATGAAGGGAAAGAAAGGAAATTCTCTTTGTCTTCCCAATGCCTGGCTCACTTGCTGGCTCCGCTGAGAAGAAATAGAACTGTGCAGGCATGTGTAAAACTGTGGTCCACCAGAAACAGCAGAGTGACAGCCTGCAGGGAAAAGGAGTAACCACCCTATGTCTTCGTCCTCCATGTACTGGTATTCGTCACAGGCAGCCAGCCACCACAGTTGATTAACCACGTCCATGTCTAGGCAGTCTCCCCAATATTTCCCTCAAGAACTTCTAGTTAGATTTTTTGTTTGTTTGTTTTAGCAGAGGGTGGGGGTGAAAGCCTTTCTGCTAATTATGAAAGTAACTTTGGTTTTATCATCTTTCTTTTTTAGAGTGATTACATTGCCACAAAAACACATTTTAGAAGAAAAGTGATGCTTATGGAATTTCAATCTTCATCTACTCCAGATCTGCCTAAAAGAAAATGCAAAGGCTTTTGAATAGAAAGCTACCTAAATTGTGACAAGCCTACAAGTGGACTCTGGCAGTTGAGTGATCGTATTCACTCAGATCATTCATCCTGCTGCTTTATGGATACAGTGATTTTTGAGTTAAGACTATTCAATTGTGTTGTATCATTGTTTTCTGATTTCCCTCCCTTATCCATCTCTTTGAAAGAAATATAAAAATGTGCATCTCATAACTTTCTCTCCCTCTTTAAAAAAAAAGATTATTTACAGTATGTGTAAATGTGGCCAATATCAAGTTTAATGATGTATAATAATAAGATTTAATTTTGAAGTTGTAAAATCTTTAAACAAGGGAAAGTAAAGAACAAAGTTATATTAAAGAGAAGGTAGGTATGATCTGGAATATTTTTTCTGAGTAGTACATACACAAAACATTTCTTGATCAAGGAATCATATGTCAACTGAACTGATATCTTGATGGGCCATTTTCAATACTTAAAAGGCAGGACGAAAGGGCAGATTATCTCAGTTTTTGGTCGTTAACAAAACTGCAAGATTCTGTCCTATTAAATGTCAACTAAACTGATACCCTGATTGAGCATTTCCAATACTTAAAGGCAGAACTGAGAAGCAGAGTATCCATTTGTTCATACGCAACACTGTGATATTCTGCCTGCAAACCGACTATTTCCGAACCTATTATTTCATTTTGAAACTTAACATTTTCCTCCTAAAAGAACCAAGGTTCTTCAAAAGTTTCCTCACAAGGCTCCCCCTTGCCTCTCTGAATCTCCCTTCCCTTTTCAATCTCCTTTCTTCTCTTTCTGACCCTCTCCCTGACACACTCCTTCTTATGCCCAGGACTCCTATAAAGAAATCAGTTTCCCATATTCAAGAAATTAGTCTGTACTTATCAATCAATATTCTGACTAAACTTAAGCCAAAAAGAACCTCTTATAAGGCCTTGTTTCCTTCTGGACAATGAGCTGATATAAGATGTACCAAATTAAGAAGAAAAATCAGAGCAAGCACCTCCCTCCTATTTTTGCTTGCCTCTGATGTAAACTGAATTAATATTTTAAGAACCTGGACCTTTGAGAACATGACACCATCAGGTGGTGACCACAGAGAATAGACACAAAGGTCTTGAAGCTTGCTTAGAGCTTTGTTATGTGTTAGCACACAAATCTTGGTTTGTTGTGCCATCACTGGCAAACTTCATACTATCACAGATGGGTGCGAGTGTTTGAGTGTCTGTATAAGTGTGGACGTGCTAGTGTGTGCACACATTTGCATGTATGCACACCTTTGTGTACCTGTGTATATGTGATTGTAGATGTACCTGTTTGTGTATAACTCTGAAAAAAATTGCTTCGCATTTAATGTGCAACTTTGAAGTAGTGTAATATCTAAAGATTTTCACCACTCAGTTTTGATGTCTTTGGACGTGTACTTCTATCTTCGAGCAGGCTTATAGTACATGTTGGTAAACTAACTTTTCTGAAGAACTGAGTTGATTTCGAATTTTCCTTGCCTACCAACCAAAAGGATGTGGGGAGGGGGGGACTCCTTTTATTTCCCCTTTGTGAATAGTGCTGAGGAGAGAATGTTGGCTACAGTACCAGTTCCTGCTCCAGTTACTGGTCACTGAGTTGGGGGTATCGACTTCATCAGTTCCTTCAGACTCCTCTTTTTTCCAACTTAATCAAATAGTGCAGTGTGGCTTTTGTTCATTATGACAACAATGTGCTCTTTAGGCAGCCGTTATTTCAAGCTTTCTGTCACCATTTTATTTTCAAGTAAGTGAAGTCATTATCTTTCAGGATTGTGGAAAGATAGATTATTTGGGGGGAAATACTATATAATTTTATTTGCATATTAGATTCAGAGGCTGCCAGCAGACAAGGTACAGAGGGTACAGCACAGATGTTACACTTGCTGAATAAACGAATGGGAAACCTCATACACTACAGTACATACAAATAGTAACAGGTACACTTAGTCACAGGTACAGCATAACAAATATGCAATCTTTTTCACACTACTTAGTTTACAGACAATTAATTTATTCAGTATTGTGCTGGAAGAATCTATAGAATATGTGTGCCAACATATCACTTACCTTCCAGCTTCCAGTTTATGCTGCTGTTAAGAAAAAAGCAATGATGGAATGGTGTGTTTTTGTTTTTTGTTTTTGTCTGTGACCTCTACATTTAATTTGGTATCAGACATTGTCACTTGGTCAGTAAACACTATAACTTTACAGTTCCAACAGCTCATTACATTTGCTATTTCTGCTTCACAGATCTGCTTTGAGTTGCTCGGGCTTCGTCTTCCTCTGTAAATATTCGTATACTGTTTTCTTTGTAAACAACTCGTTCGCAGTTTTGGAAGACAACTTCGCAACTCTGTATAGTGTTTATATATATATGTATATGACTTGCTTTTCCATAGAGCTTCTTGCAATAAATGTGTTCATGGAAGTTATTTGTGTGGAGATTCTTTTTTTTTTGCATTAATTCTCTTGTCTCTTATAAATCTATCTTCCCACTCTGTGTTATTATCCACTGCATTTTCTAGAATGAAACAGTTAAGGCTTGGGTTACAGTTATTTTGCCTAGATACATGAAGCTTTTCAATAGTTAATAAAGTCTATTCTTAATTCAATACATGCAGAGGTGATACTATTGTAAAATAATCTGTAAAATGACCTACCTGAGTTTTCATATGGACCACTGTAATGTGTGAATCATACATTGAAGTGACTACTCAAGGAGGTTAAGGTGATCATTTACAATTTTCTTCTGTCTCCTTCCCTTTCCACTTACTTTTGCCATTTAAACAAGTTCTTTTTAAATTACTTATTGTTTTATTTTTAAATATAGGGTCCATGCACTCACCAGAGAGACATAAATAAAAAAATCAGCCCCCCTGTGGGGGATGGCCACACCACAATCCCCTCTCCTCCAGTCTCCTCTCAGGATTCTGGGAACGCAAGCAGATGTCCCCAGCATGAGTTTTAAGCTGGAGGGTCCAGGACTCAAACCATGGTCAACTACATGGGAGTCCAGTGATATAATCATTTTGCCATGTGCTCTTCCCTCATTTCCTTATTTTTAACCACTGGTAAAGCAAATATAAGTACATGAAAAATATATCAATGAACAGACAAAAAACATTTTTGTATAGGTGGAACATAGAAGATATAGTGAATTGAATATCAAAATCTCAGTTATATTGTGAGTTTTATCAGAAACCACAGGTTTAAAAAATACTGGAAAACTCACTGTCTCCCCAATTCATTCCTTATCCAATCACCTTTGTCACACAGAATGACAGTGACAGCAAGTAAAACTTTGGGGCAACAACTTCTCAAGGGTCAATAAGCAGGGGAAGAGCTGTATGACCATTTGGGTCATAGGGTAGGAGGGCAGGTCCAAGATCATCTGTAAAATCTACAAACTATGTGGATAGTCTATATGTAGATAACTGAGTCAATCTTACAGTCTGACCTTATTTGATATACCTGAGAAGTTGCATGTAAAGAATATCACAATGGGAAGCCATAACTGGAAAGCCTTTATTCTTAGAAATTGTTCACAATAAAGATCATTTTAGGATGTGTATCTAAGGATTTATCTATCCAACCTCACTTCAAGGGCCAATCTATCAAGGCATAGTACAAATACATGTTATTCATCCCAAATAGCCCCTCAATGATAAATAGGCACAACCATGCTTGTAAGTCCATGTGATCTTTGTATACCCATTTAGGAGGCTCATATCTTAATGAAACTTGAATTCTTGTAATAGTAGGTGTGGTCTGTGATTGCTTTGACAATCAGTAGAAGCACTAGCAGAAAAGATCTACACCCAAGAGTGTATAAACACAAATCACCCAAGAGTGTGTAAACAGAAATTCAGCTTCCCCACTCTTCTACTCTCATAGATAGTAACCAAATGTTTGCTATAAAAAGTGAAGGGATACTGTTTCTTTAAAACATAAAACCTGTTTAGAAGACTGGTCAGATAAAAGGTGTCTAAGTATACATTAGTTAAGCACCTCCTGTGACTACTAAAAAAAATATTACTAGGTGTTAATTGACCCCAAAGGGCAACTTAGAAATGTACCAAAATGCTTTTAAAAAATGTTCTGGAAAAAAAAAAAACTGACAAAAAGCACAACCTGGTGAATGTGAGCACTGTACAGGTATACCAAATCATGGCTCCTAATTTCTAAAATGTGTGAAAGAGAAACTATGAAAAATTAATGCACAGAATAAGATAAAATCATATTATGTTTTAGAAAAACCAATTCATTTTCCCTCCAAGATCTGCATGCTAATGGATGCTGGTTTTCCGGCAGCTACCTTAAGTCCTGGTTTGCTGCTTAAGTGTACTTCAGAGATAAGAAATGCAACTGAGCTGTACAAAATGAGACAACTTTCCTCCTGTCTCTTGTGCATGATAAACGCTAAAGCAATTAGGGACTACTGTTGCATGCTACATTGAAATTTGTCTGCAACATTAGTGCTGTGCTATGTAAACCAGGGAAACTTACTTAGAATAAAGTCGTGAGAATTTATGAGGAGACCATTGATTTTACTTAATATTAAACATTTGGGTTCATAGAACTACGAGCAATCCTTTCCTTGATTTTTAATCTCAGAATATCCATTTTAGAGTATTCTGTTTCACTGACAGTAATCTGAATTAGCATTTCAACAAAAGAAGCCAGGGAATATGGAAATGAAAAGCAGTCTTATGTAGAGAATAATGTGCAGCTTACAGTTCATTCTGTATTTTCACACTTGTAACCCCAAGAAACTTTTCAACATCTTTGAATTTTCTGCATCATCTTCAGAGAATTAAATGTATGTAGGCAATTTAAAATATATCCATGCCTAGACTCTTATTAATTTTTTGAGAGATTTTTGCTATAGAGTATGTGCACTCA